AAAATATATATATATATATATATACAGTATATATTTAAACAGACAAACATTGTCTCCTGGCTGGTCTGATAACAACTGGGGTCCTTGGCGGCAGGAGTGAGCATTCCTTACTGCTTCATGCAGTGACATGTGAGTATAGTCCAATGTATTGATCCCCTCAGGGATGGATATATAAAAGCCTGGGCTCAGAGGAAGCTGGTTGAATCTAGAAAATTTAGTCATCTAGTGTTGGAAAATAACAGCTGTGAGAAACGGCTCTAGTTTGAAGGTGATTATTGTACCAAAAAACTCTTTTTTTTTTTGTTGTTGTTCCATTTCATCTTTCATAAGACTATTCATTTCTAGTTTTTGTGACACAATTTTGCTTTAAAGCAATTCAATTAGTAGACAAATGAACTATTATGTACAGTACAGGACACAGGCAGATTGAGAGATGACTGGGCAATATATAGGTATCATCAGAGGATTGGTGTCCTGTCACCTGATGATACATCCTGCATATTACCTAGTCATGTCTGAATCTGTCTGTGTTCTGTACTGTACTCCAAGAAACGTATTTCTGATAGTTGCCAAATTGTATATTTCTCTACAGCATCCAGGCTGAGGTCAGTATGGACAGGTCTGTGCTGATTCTTTGCAGCTACTCTCTGCAAAAATGTCAAAGGTTTAAATGAAAGGTGCCAAAGCAACTCATTTGATCTCCATGATTACTTCACATCATGAAGCACACCTTGCACTAAAAAGCAAGGCTTGTTTATTACTTTAGGGCCTCCACCCTCATATTAAATCACCACCTTAAAGCGACAAAACAAAACCTGTGGGAAAAAAATTATTAAATATACTTACCTTACCCCCGGCTAGTTATAATCCTTAGCTTTTCTACACTCTGTTAATTTCAGTGATTTGTTTATGTTGGCAATGTCATATTATCTGTGTTATTTTTTTTTTTTAAAGGCAGTTGTAATTAAATAAGGACAATAGAGAAGATGAGAAAGGATAATAAAACTATAATAAAAAATAAATCAGCTAATAGGTATATTAATGATCAAGGTAATCATTCTAGCAATTTAAAGGAAAACGTTAATGGTTTTAGGTCAAATGCATTTGATACTTTTTATTGTTTCTTCTCTTAGTTTTACATTTTTATATCAGTTTTAAAACCTGTATCATCCATAATAAAGGATTCACAGCAGTTTTTAAAAGAAAAAGAGAGCACAGTTGCATGCTTTTACAATATCTCCCTCTCTAATTGAAATTATGTGTAGACAATGTAAGTGCAATTCAGTGACTTGAATTTGAGCTTGAGCTATTGGGCTCTGTAAGTAATCGGCTTTTTTTTAAAAAATAAATGGAAGATGAGGACAACCTGCAAAGGAGACTAGAGCTGTACCTGTTTGTTGCATATGGAGTTATAAAATATTCATGTACAGAATACATCAACTGCCAAAAAATAAAATATGAATTTCCCAATCCTAGCCAACACATACACTATATTGGCAAAAGTATTGGTACACCGCTCCAAATCATTGGATTCAGGTGTTCCAATCACCTCCATGGCCACAGGTGTATAAAATCAAGCACCTAGGCATGCAGACTGCTTGTAAACACATTTGTGAAAGAATGGGTCGCTCTCAGGAGCTCAGTGAATTCAAGCGTGGACCGTGATAGGTTGCATCCTGTGCAATAAGTTCATCCGTGAAATTTCCTTGCTACTAAATATTCCACGGTCAACCGTGGTATTATAACTAAGTGGAAGCAACTGGAAACAACAGCAACTCAGCCACAAAGTGGTAGGCCATGTAAAATGACAGAGCGGGGTCAGTGTATGCTGAAGTGCACAGAAGTCGCCAACTGTCTGCAGAGTCAATAGCTACAGACCTCCAAACTTTGTGTGGCCTTCAGACTGGCACAACAACAGTGCGTAGAGAGCTTCATGGAATGGGTTTCCATGGCTGAGCAGCTGCATCCAAGCCTTACATAACCAAGTGCATTGCAAAGCGCCGGATACAGTGGTGTAAAGCATGCCGCCACTGGACTCTAGAGAAGTGCAGACGGGTTCTCTGGAGTGACAAATCACTCTTCTCTGACAATCCAATGGACGTGTCTGGGTTTGGCGGGTTGCCAGGAGAACGCTACTTACCTGTCTGCTTTATGCCAAGTTTGGTGGAGGGGGGATTATGGTGTGGGGTTGTTTTTCAGGGGTTGGGCTTGGCCCCTTAGTTCCAGTGAAGGGAACTCTTAAGGCATCAGCATACCAAGACATTTTGGACAATTTCATGCTCCCAACTTTGTGGGAACAGTTTGGGGATGGCCCCTTCCTGTTCCAACATGACTGCGCACCAGTGCACAAAGCAAGGTCCATAAAGACATGGATAAGCGAGTTTGAGGTGGAGGAACTTGACTGGCCTGCACAGAGTCCTGACCTCAACCCGATAGAACACCTTCGGCATGAGTTAGAGCGGAGACTACTAGCTAGGCCTTCTCGTCCAACATTAGTACCTGACCTTACAAATGCGCTTCTGGAAGAATAGTCAAACATTCCCATAGGCACACTCCTAAACCTTGTGGACGGCCGTCCCAGAAGAGTTTCCAGAAGAGTTGAAGCAGTTATAGCTGCAAAGGGTGGACAAACTCAATATTGAACCCTACGGACTAAGACTGATGCCATTAGAGTTCATGTGCGTGTAAAGGCAGGTGTCCCAATCATTTTGTTAATATAGTGTAGTTATGTGTATATATATATATATTTATTATTTACAGTCTTCTTGAGCCAAACTGATTTTATCTGAGTTATCAACTTTTTCATAAGAGTTCTTATTTAAAGTGACATTAAACCCTCAGATTTTTTAACATAAACCAATACTGTAATGTGTGCCTTACTGTAATCCATGGTTGTTTCCCTTCTCTTTGCTGCTCTTCCTTTTAAATCCTCATGTCTTCTCATGCTTGGGGAGAACTTCCCTTTGCCGCTGACTGCCTCTTCCTGTAGTGCTGGCTCAGGTTGCAAACTTACACACAGACACCATGTAGCCATTCCAGAGACAAGGCAGTCTGCTGCAAAACAGAAGTTCTGCCCATCATGAGAAGAGATACAGATTTAAAAGGAAGAGCAGCAAAGAGAAGGGAAACAACCATGGATTACAGTAAGGCACACCTTACAGTATTGTTTTATGTTAAAAAATCTGAGGGTTTAATGTCACTTTAAGTCTGTGCAAGTTTTGACTTTTTTCCAGCTTGTAACCCAGATATTAGCGATAAATTGCCCTATGGAGTGTATTGTATCTACCGTGCCACATCTTACTCATTGGGAAAAGGGGATATTTGACATTGGCAGCCCTCCTTTTACCCAGTTTTTATTAGTGGCAGCTTGCTCAGTGCCGAATGATAACCCTTCCATATATTATTGTATAGTGCTGTAGGATTCCAGAATGCCTTGCTACCAGCCTTGTGTTGTGTCTGTTCCCACATGTCTTTGTTTGAAGAAAAAAAAAAAGAGCCTTCATTCTGCTTTCTTTCCACCCTAGATAACATCAAACGAGAAACATTTACACAGTCTGAAGAATGATGGGGATCTTCTTATCCACACTCTGGAGAGACTTGCTCAGGATTCAAGGTGAGTCCCCTCAGGCAAAGAGGAATTTCCACACCCTAAACAAACGGCTTTATTTTAAATACTAAATAACAATGTCATTGGTTTCATGTTACCCGTGTCGAGGAAGACTTCACAGAGAACATTTAAGAGTTTGTGTTTTGGGAAGCTGTGATTAGATTTTTTTGGCAGCATATTTTATATACATATATACTGAACTGTGTAAGCAATGATGGATACATTTTTGTTGTTATTATTATATGTTATTATTATATTTCCAATAAAAATTAGAAATGGTATATGAAATTAAAAAATATAGTACAAAAAAAGCATTTTTAAAAATGTACCAGCTTTCTGTGTGCCTAACCTGTAAGGACGGCTAAGGCGACCCACAGACCTGAATAATGGTCTGGCTGATAACTGATATTTGGCTGATAAGGGAATGACTACACATTTCCGGGCACACTGTGACCAGAGTAGTCAGAACTCATGATCTGCATACTTGTTCTGGATACTGGATTACGAAGTCCTTGGATGAGCATAACAGCCAGGAAACTAGTATTTTTAGCAAGAGAGTTCAGCAATGGCTGCTCCATGTCTTTCAGTACAAGTATAGTGAAACAACCCTGAAACAACTGTCTGTAGCAACAAGTTTTATGATCCGATAGCAGTAATGGGAATTTATGTTATATATGTGTATATAAAAGTCCAGAGAAAGTATAACGTGACAGTGCAGATGCAATAATCACCTCAAGTAGTTTATCCTTATCAGGTCAGAGACTAAAACATTGCCTAGTGCTGGATGGATACACTCACTCTGTCTGAATCCTGTTTATTCTTTGTCTGGACTACTTTGGGAAATGAGCTTTTTAGCATATTCTATTTTGGCACACCGATTGTTATGATGCTGCAAAGTTTTACTATACTACCAATGCAATAATACATCCCGCTAATGCAATTACTAATGTTACATTATATGTGTAGAGCCAGCACTTGACATTTGCAGTATTTGATGTTAGCATACTCCTAGGATCTCCTGTGTAGTAGATAGCAGCATTGCCCTTATTTATATGTGCTCAGTTTTTAAGGTTATTATTATTAGAGTTAGTGTTATCATTAGTAAGCAAGCAAAATAGGTCCAAAAACTGGACACATGTAGAAAGGAAGGCACTTTCCAAATGACCTTTACTATGTAAGTAATGCAGGAACACTAGGTGCAATTGGTAATTAGAAGATGACAGGAACTGGAGATGATAGAAGTTCCCATTCGTATAGCATAACTTTAACCACTCACCTACTGCTGTATCAGTGTGGTGGATGCTTATTTCTGGAGTGACATTTTAAAAGCGCAATCCATAAATCACCCTTGGGCGGTGTCTGCTCCCATTATTGGTTGTGTACAGAGCCAGTCCAAGTGGCTCTGCACCTTGTGATCACTGTTATAACCAATCACAACAGCCACAAATGTAAACAGTGCTGTGTTTACATTGCTAAGCCCTCCCTTTTCTCTTACAATGGAGAAAGGGAAAAGAGGAGGAACTGATGAATGAATCATTTATTCATTCTTTAGTTCCAGATCAGTGTAAGCAGCAGGAGTTGTGGATTTTTTTTTAACCCCTACCTCCACCCCTCCATGCTGTCTCAGCAGTGGGCCATATATTAACCCCTTAACGTCCCTTATCTTCACATCTGCACATTAATCCGCTCATCTCTATCCTGGCTGCAGGTGACCAGTACATTACCCTCTACCTCCTTTACATCCTCCTCCCTCTGTGTATGACCAGTACATTTATTGTATCTAGTGCGCCATTACTAAGTGCCATGTTTTAACCTGTTCAATACCAGCAAAAAAAAAAAAGTGGCAAAAAAATTAGATTATTTTGGGGAGTCTACTTTTAAAAAAAGGTAATTTTCCTGTCTGTTCTCTGCTGGCAGATTTAATTATCAGTTGTTAACTAGATATGCAGGATTGTATGTCCTAACAAAGGGTTACGGACCTCAAGACTTGGTGGTGCATTGTATGTTAATGCACTGTCTGGCAGTCTTGTGCCGCCATTCTGTCCCTTATGTCCACATTGCCATCTTTTCAAAGCAATTGGAGCTGTCTGTAGAGTCTTGTGTATAATCATGCACCAAAGAAACCAATAAAAACATAGAAACATATATTTTTAGTTAAACTGTGTAAATGCAGTCAAACTTGAGAAACCCCCACTATATGTTCATTGTATGTTTCCAAAGTGGAAATACACTTTAAGGGCAGAACCAGATAAAGAAGAGAATTCCTAAGAATGGGGGCTGTCTATGTTCAATATTTTTTAACTTTATTTACTCCTTTAAATATGTTAGTGTAAATGTTTTGTTGTACTAAAATGTTTATCATGTTTGCAGGTTTTGTTTTAACAAGTTTACAGGTTAGCTTACAAAATGTGTCTTAATGCTTAGTGAAACTTTGAATTAACATTGATCAAGTTGTATACATTGTGGTACCTAAAGACCTCAGATAGCTGGCACATGCACAACCCAGCTTCATAGAAAAATCTTAGTTGCCTGCACTTGTGCAGCAGAGATGGGGAAAAAAGCGATCGTACGATAATCGCAAGGTGTATGGAAGGTGTGCGACCGTTTCTACCGTCTTTTGTCTCCCGTGCAGGCTTGAAAACCCGCCAAGAATCGTACGTAGATTAGTGCCATTCTCGGGAGACAAATGCTGAACGGGCCAGTGTGTGCAAGCGCACACTGCCCGTTCAGCATTGCAGTCATCGGAAGCCCGCCCCTCGGGGGGGGGGGGGGGGGGGGGCTTTCGATGATCACAAGTACGATCTGCCGGTCCAAGATGGGCAGATCGTACGAGCTTTTAATTAGCTTACAACCATCGCAAGATGGTTATAAGGTGTATGGGCACCTTTAGGCTTGCTTTAGGGAAATAATAGCAAGTGTTTATGAAAATTCATAGCATGTGATTGATTATTTGCCTTAGCAGGCCTGGCTCAAGTTGTGGAAGGCCTTCAGACATAAGATTCCCTCTCTGTCTCACCATAACCGGCTGGATCAAGCAAGCATTGTTATATTAAGTTGAACTTGAATACTCAAATAATTGGCATTAAGGGAGTGTTCGCTGAAGTGTGATGGAACACTTTAGCACTGCTACCTCACACCCCTCAGCTCTTTTGACTAGGTGAGTGTTTGCTCAGTGACACCCTCTGGAGTGTCATTGCTGAGGGGAAGTGACTCTGTCAGAATCAGATTTCCTCTAAAGTTATAATTGGACTTTTCACAGAAACCAAAGACAAGGTGAGCTTTGCAAGTACTTTTCACTCTTAATCCCATTTATTTAACTTTTGCTATTGTCTTTTTTGTCATTTTCTTTTACTGTACATATTTCTATGGCACCATTTGTATTAATTTTATTATAACAGTCAGTTTTTCAGGTGAATCTGATCAGAAGCCCAATGTTAATCCTTGGGGCAGCTGGATCTAAATGGCTGTGCATCCGTTTACATCCGATTACCCCCAACTCCCTCCAGGTCTAGAAAACAAAACATAACATAGTTCCATTTTGGGTCCGATGGATGGACACGGATGTCACAACAGTGACATCTGTTCTCTGTTTCTCTAATCAGAACTGCAGATATTGCTGATCGGAAATGACAGTGCCTGCATGAAAGGAGCCTTAGAATGTGCACATGGTCACCAAAACTGGATGACCCAAGATTGCAAAAATGATTCCGGGTCTAACAAATTGTGACTTCTGCTGTGACAAGCACATGTGTGAGTTTGAATTTGCAGTACATACCATGAATCATTTGGGATGAAGTGAAACAGGAGGCTTGCAGCTACAGAATGTGGCAGACAAATCTGAACCCAAATCCCTGAGGAACGTTTCTGGCACTTTGTTCCTATTCTGGTGTTACTTTCTTCAATGCTCCACGTAGTTTACTACTAAAGGAAGATTATCAATTCACTGTGACCCTCTGTATATTAATATGTCTGATGTTTAGTGTAACTGCCATTAATCTTTCCAACTCTTCTTACAAGTGCAGAAAATCTTTGTCTTTTCTCCAGTTTGGTATGCCACCCTCCCACCAGACTACAAGGTTCTCATATTACCCGCTCGCAGAACTGTGCTTATATCAGCTGCATCCTCCTCGCCTCGCTGCTTTGATCCACAGGCTGGTGTGGGAAGCTGCAGTATAACTCAGCCTATTTATTTTCTCTTCATTTTGACTCACATAGTGGTCTTTTTGTTCATTTCTAGTCCATACTAACATATGGCTATTCAGATAATAATTTATTTAGTCTAAAAAAAAAAAAAGATGAGTAAAGGGAACTGATTTACTATGCCAACATACTCTTCCTTGTCAAGTGCTTTGTTTTCTTCTCCGTGGCAACAGGCATGGAGTCAATGATACCGGCTATATAGCAGACAAAGTACTAAAAGCCTATAATGAATGTTGCATTTTAGAATAGTTCTGAAGCAATACAATAAACTGAGCACTGTGTAGATCTGTTGCTTGTTTCATGCCCACATTTTGTTATTTCTGCATAAATAAAAACAATCGTACAGATGCCTTGTATGAAAACAATTCTTTATACCTTTTATACAGAGTACATAAACCCAGTCCCATCTGTCCTGGTCTTAGAGGAGCTTAGTATTCAGAGTTCTTGTTAACATAGCATTATGGGGTCTAGTTTGTGTAATGTGGGAGACAACTGGGGGACTCACAAATAAGGAAAACTAAACTTTATAAAGGAAGCCTTTCCTAAGTAAAGTTGAGCCATGGACTCCAGTGCTGCAAATTAAGTGTGCGTGCTAGTCATTTAGTCACTCTGTTTACTACAGCTTTTTTGACGATGGTAACCAGCTTTTGACAGTCACACGGTATGAATGCATACATCTTTATGACTCTGCTTTTTTGTTGTTTCCATATTAAAATTTTAAATAAAGTTTTGGATAGAGTAGGGAAGGGGTAGGACCCATGTCTGGGAAAATCTCCCAGTGGGGACACCTGCTCCAGTAATAACTG